CTCAATTTAAACATCCTCTCTGCAGGTTTTACTGCAGAGTCCACTGATCACGTATACGACCAAACAGCTGGCCCCAGCAGCATCAGACTCCAACACAAAACTACGTGTAATACTGATGTGCTGAAGCCTGGCGACGAAGGCCACATCACTACATCTGATTTCCTGTCACAATAACGCAGCATCTTATAAACACACTCAGGCGACGGTGCGTACATGCTGCATGGGTGACTCGAGTGGTGAAGCCGTGTCTCTCCGATTGTTTCTCAAACATCAGCTCGCTGCGAGACTTGACGGTGTAGTACTCGTCCGCTTTGGCGATGTAACCCACTGAACTCGATCGTCGCGGCAACGCTCCATCCCACGCTGGCTCTGCCTCCGCAGGGTGGGACATGAGCAAGAGCCGAGGCAACCGTTCGAGGAAAAACTGGACGTGGAGAGAAACGTGTTTATTTACATAAAACTCAGAAAGTTTTATATTTAATACATTACTATTGCTGTATGGCACTATTACAGTGCTACACTGCAGTGTGTCTGAAAGCTGACACTTTAAGTTGGCATATATTGGACAAACAAAAGTAAATCAAATATAAACAAATGAATTTTAATGCCATAAATATTCTTAAAAATGTAGTCATTGAATTAATGCTCAAATACGCCATAAATAGATATTTGTAGTATTTAATTCTGTAGTTATGTACCTTGATATTGATTCTCCTATTTTTGCTTTTGAATTAATTTTACTTTATTATTTTATTTTCAGCTGTGCTGCCTCAGCACTGTCAGTGTGAATCAGTGAATACACATCAATAAGCAGCAAAGCATTAAAATAAGCTGGGAAAATATTGTGAGAGAAAGATGCAAAGCAAATAAAAAATTCTGCAGCTCAGGTCATAACTTGCACTCCGTTAAGAGCTCATATTACCCCAGTTCTTCAGCAGCTTCACTGGTTGCCCATAGAGGCCAGAATAAAAGTTAAAATCTTACTTCGTACATACAGGTGTATCCATAAATCTGCTCCTTCATATTTGTGTGACCTGCTCCATATCACCACTGTTTCCCGCCTTCTCAGATCATCATCTGCTATTCATCTTACTGCTCCATCCTCACACCTTAGTACTCTGGGGAACGGAGCTTTCAGTCGCTCTGCTCCTCGGCTCTGGAGCTCTCTTCCTCCTCCTTCCTCCTGTTGACTCCCTCTCCGTATTTAAGTCACAGCTCAAAACACATCTGTTTAAACTGGCTTATTCGCTTTAATGCTGATTTTATCTGTTGTCAAGCTCTGTTTTGTAATTTTAACTTATTTTATGTATTTTATGACTATTGTTTCTTTTATTAATTGTGTTTTTTGTAAGGTGACCTTGGGTTTCTGAAAGGCGCCCTTAAATGAAATGTATTATTATTATTAGAAATAAGTTCTAAATAAATAAATTAGTTTTTAATAAGTTTTTAAAACGTGCAACAGAGATTTAAAATAAATGCACAGAAATATTCTTTGGCTGCTGCTTAAAATGTGTAATATGTTTGTGCATTGAATGGTATATTTTATAAATTCATTTCACCTGGACAGGATGTACATCACATGGTGTGTGTGTGTGTGTGTGTGTGTGTGTTTTACCCTCTTGGTCCACTCAGTCATGACGTGCGTGCTCGGCGTCCTGAAGTGCAGGTTGAGGACGACCACACAGTTTAAAACGACCACAGTAACCAGCACCATGATGAACATCAAATACCTGAGAGACAGTTTAACTTTAGCTTTGATCTATTATTTCTTTCTTTTTTAAATTAAATATACACATTATTTTCTCACTTTTCATTTCTTGTTATTTGTCAGCGAGTGTTTACAGACTGGGAACTTTAAAAAACAGCAGTCCATATTTGGAGAGTCTTCACCCCAAACAGGAAAACTGTAATTCTGGGCATCAAACTGGCTCCAAAGCAAACAGCTGTGCTACACTTTACTGAACAAATGATGCACTTCCAGTATGCAGACTCTTTCTCCAAGTTCTCATTATTACTTCAGTCCCGTTTGAAGGCTTCTGTCCTGCAGTCCATTCCTCTCATGACTCTCTCCTTTGAGGCTACAATTCCCAACTGTTGGACGTCACATATCTCAGTCGTTTTTCGTTTGCTTCCTGCCTCTGCCAGGCTCGTTCTGTCCTGCGTATCTCTGAATTTCTTGACGACACTTCTCACTCCAGTTCATGATACACGCTGTGATACTAACTTTGAATATTCATCTCCTGCGTTGTGAGCATCAACGATTCTTTTTCTCAAATCTAAACAAATGTATCTGGTTTTGGCATGATGCTTTCTCAGGTGACATGTTAAAGCCTTGTTGAAGTTTTTAAACTGCATGTTTAACTCACTTCTACAAACTTTGAGCATTGCAAAGTTTAAGTACATCCCTGCACAGCAGTGGTTTGTGCTCTGGCTCAATAAAAAGGGCGTCAGAAGGCTAATAACACTGACCCTGGTAACTCTGACTGTTCTCTGAAATAATCATGTTGCTGTGTGCAAACAGAAATCATTCATGTTTACTGAAGAAAACCAGCATATTATAATGAAGCACTTGGAAAAGCTTCAATCTGAATCTAAAGCTGATGTTTCCAGCTGTTGTTGGGAGTATGTTTTGCGTTTCTTACTTAACAATAAGCGGCACAGACATGGAAGTTTCCGGCAGCCTTTGAGAGATCAGCAGCAGGAAGACAGACTGAGCGAGCAGCACAGAGATGGACAAGGTCATCTTCTCGCCACCTGCACACAAAACGCACAAACTGTTTCAACAAGTGAAGGAAACCAGTTCAAACTGGAATCATTTTAAACCTCCAACAAAGTATTTCTGGGCAGTTTAAGAGCCCAGTGTTTGCAAAGTGTTTGCAAAGTGTTTGCAGGTGAGCTCTGTTTACACTAAGACCAGAGGAATCGACAGGAGATTCCCAGTTACGGTGATTTCTGACTTTTTCCCAGATTAATGTTTAAAAATATAAATGATTTAATTATAATTAGTTTACAAATATATTAATTTTCTGCCTTGCTGCAGTTTCCTGTTGACAGCCTGCAGAAGATTATAAGCTTTCAGAGTTGGCACATTTCTCTGTCTTATAAAAAAAACAAAACTGAGTGTGTCTCTGTGCATGTCGAGGAATATTTGCACAGCTCAGTAACACCACAGGTTACAGAGACATGGTTGAAATTGCTCTTTAAACGTGCACTGACTGTCAGCGGGCAGGTAGTAGACGAGGCAGGCCAGGAAGGAGATGAGCACACAGGGAATGATGATGTTGACAATGTAGAACAGAGGTTTGCGTTTGATGATCAGGTAGAAGGTGATGTCCTGGTGCTTGTTGCTGTCCATGGGGATGTGCTTGTAGATGTTTCTCTTGGCTGGCCGGTGGACGATCTCCCACTCACCGTTTTCTGCCAACATTAGTGGAAAACATGAGATGAGACCCAGACAGAAGAAAGTTTACATAACGGCGCTTCCTCCACGTTTGACTGCCAAACCTGACTGCGTCGTTTCAGCCTAAAGTGAAAAGATGTCTGTTCTTTGACATTAGAAGCACTAAAATGTGTTTTTCATGTCCATGTTTGTGAAAAATGTATCTAAATGCAGTGAAGTCCAAACTTTTTTTTTTTTTTGCCTTGCACACTACAGTAATTATACATTTTTTATAAAGATGCAATAAAAGTGTTGGAGTTTCACTGGAACTCTTCATATGAGGTGTTGATGTACTGGTGATGAAATAAAAGAGGCCAGAGTTGGGCTGAAAAAACTGAATAAACCCATCGAAGAAAGAGCAACACTTTCAGTCTGGTTCATTCATAAAAAGACGGAATCCACTGACCAGCTCAGGATCACCAAAAACCCAGAAAGACCACAAAAGACAATTAAAGTGGATGATGGCAGAATTTTTTCCATGGTTAAGAAAACTAACTTCACAAGATCTAACCTTAAGAAGAGACTCAAAGAGGTAAGAGTATCACTGTCAGCAATCAAGAGACGCCTTCATGAATACAAATACAGACGGTTTACAACAAGATGCAAAGCTCAAGACAAGAAGACCAGCTACATGATCTTTATGTGCAAATCCTGACCAACACTGTGGGAGGAGGTGTGGTTCTTTGTGGACAGACGACTGCACGGACACTTTTCCAGATGAGCCAGAAATATATATTTGGACGGGATCGAGTTACAGTACAGTATGGCATGGGCATTTCTGACAGGGAAAAGTAAAGTGTGAACATAACACTGGAGTGCAGAAAAGAACATCTACCTGTAAAGCTAGCAGGGTCAATAACGACCCACTCTACTGTATAGTTGGCGACTTCTCCGGCGTATTCTTCTTTCAGGAGCATCCGGATCTCTTTGGCGTTGTAGGTCAGAGAGCTGCAAAGCACCGTGACAAACACGGATTAAATTAATCTGAAATCTTTCAGGAGAAAAACACCATAAAAACTTTACAGATTTGCTTCACAGCAGGCTGTAAATTCTGATTTTGGATGCATAATTGTCAACAGAGAGCTTTAAATAATTCTTTCTTACGTGAACTTGAGCGTGCAGTTCTGCCAGTCGAAGGGGAAGTATCTGACGTTGATGGAGCAGGAGGAGCGGAAGATGGCCGGTGGCAACCAGTAGCAGAAACCATTTTCATACACCAGTACATTACTGTAGTAGGCCACTTCAAACTGGGCATCATTACTGAGGCATGGAGGAAGGAGGAAAGGACATACAGTTAGGAAAATCTGTTTTTGCACAATGATTTATTTATTTTATTTGGGCTCTTTACGCCACCACAGTGGGTTTTACATCAGTGCAGACTTTCAGCTGTAATTTAAGGAGATCAACACAAAGTGTAGCCTTAAAACTGATTTGGTTTTGCAGTACTGTGAAAAAGTTTTTGCAACACTTGAATGTTTGAGATCTTTAAAGACAACCTGAGTAAATAGAAATGTAGTTTTTAAATTATGATTTTAATTATTAAGGGAAAAAACATTCAAACCTGCGTGAAAAAACCTAATAACATGTGCCAGCCTTACCGGCAAGAACTGCAGTCAAGTGTTTGAGATAACTGCCAGTGAGTCTTTCACATCACTGTGGAGGAAGTTTGGCCAACTTTACTTTGCAGAGTTGTTTTAATACAGTCACATTGGAGGATTTTTGAGCATGAACAGCAGCTTTAAGGTCACACCAAAGCATTTGACTCACTCATTCTCAGATGGACTTCCTGCTGTGTTTTGGATCATTGTCCTGCTGTATAATACAAGTGCTCCCAAGGTTCAAGACAGCAAATTAATGGCCAAACAGACCAGAATTAATGGTTCCATCAATTACACCAAATCGTCCTGAAGCAGCAAAGTAGCCCCTACACCATTCTTTTGCTGTTGGCTTGGTCTAACACCAGATGTAACAGGACTCAAACCTCCCAAAAAGTTCAGCTTTTGTCTCATAAATCCACAGAATACCAGCAGTGGTTTTCACTCAGGGTGGCAAAAACAGGGCCAGGCCTTAATGACTGGGATTATCATGACAAAATAGTTTTCATTTACTTATCTCATAGAGACGGACAAATACATTTAAAATTTTTAATTTTCCATTGACATAAAAATGAGGTTTTTTTGTGTGACCTCACTTGTTTTCCAGAACGATCTCCGGCAGCCACACCATGCTGGGCGGCAGCCGGAGTATCTCAATGCCACCAAACTCTGTGGAATTCCACGTCAGCCGGTAGTCAGTCCACGTCTGCCATAACACACACACACACAGAAGTAAATAAAGAGCTGCAAGTACTGAATATGAAGATGTAAAAGAATGAATTGTTACCCACAATTTCCAGCCACACGTTCGTCAGCAGCGTCTCATCTACTTCTTTCTACAGAGGAGAACAAAGACAAACATCGATGTTTCTGTTTGAATGTGTTCGATTTAAACCTAACGGACACATTTAAAGTTTTAATGACAGGATGAACTACATAAACACACAGAAGCTGCGAACCAGAGAGATGAGGTTGGAGAGCGTGAGGGCGAGGTTAACATCGACAACATCCTGCTGCTTCTCGACGGGGCGCAGCTCCTTGTTGTATCCCATCTCTTTGAACACGTATTCAATAACACGCTCCTCTTCGTTCCTGCCATTGCACTCTAACACACACACAGATTAAAACACACACGTTTTACAACTGCTGTTCATATTCTCTAAGCTGCTCCTACCAAAACTGGGAGAGATTATACAAAAGTCCAGCAGGCCAACAAAGGACACGTTTCAATATTTAAGATGAGCAAACCAAACCTGCTGAGGAGCCAGTGGGCAAAAAACTCTGTTGGAAACCTAGAAACCAACCAGTACTGTGAAGGAGGAATGAGACACGCAACAGTAAATCCATTTCTATAATTAAACATGAGTTAAAAGAAAAAGCAACTTTACTTTTTTCTACCTTTTTTCAAGTTATCTTTAAAACTTTGCACAAAGATGTCAGTTTTCATTTTTTTCTCATCACGTAATAATCTATTATTTTAAAAAACAGCTTTTTTTTGCTGTTGTTAATAATTTCTGGTTGCAGTCCAATGCTTTTCAGGATCTTTATGATTAGATGGGCCACTTTTTTCCTTGACTCGCTGCTCACGCTGACACTTCTGACCCTGCTCAGAGTGATTTTAATCCCAGCTCCTCTCGTCACCTTCCAGCCAGTCATTTATTGCCGAATATGGAAGGAAGACATACATGAAAACACACACGCCTTTCATATTATACTGCTAATTCATTTCAGTTCAATTCAATTTTACTTACACTGAGCTTAATCTCAACCACAGTCACTTCAAGGTGTTTTATATTTTAAGGTGAAGTAAACTCTTTGGACTGACCAGTGCTCAGAACAATGGGAAGGTCTAAAGATCAACTGCAAACATTAGAGGTGGATGCTGGGTGGGTGCAGCAGTGCTGACATCAGAGGGACAGGTGGGGTATGACGTGGATGAGGCGTGTAGAGAGTATGAAGCAGTGCAGCTCAACTCGGCTCCCTGCACTAGCTCAGACCCCCCCAACCAGCTTCTTTCTGTTGACGGTGTTTGAATTTAGACATGTTTACTCTTTAAATTAAAATCTGAGTCTTAAGATCAAAATAAATCAAACGGTATCACCAGTGACAGTTTGGTTTACAGTGTGGAGTCTGATCCCAGTATTAGTCCAAAGCTGAATCAGAGCGACTCCATCTGCTCAGGAGATGAGACACTTGAAAGCTTCAATGTTGCTTCCTAATGGGCTTCCAGCTCCTGTTTCCAAGGTCAAACATAAACTCATCTCTAAACTCAAAGAATGTGCTGCTCAATTTAGAAATCCACAATCCCACAAAGTCCAGGTGACATCTTTTTGTGTTTGTTTTTAGTTTGTTTTTTGACTAACGGCCAGGCCTAGTGACACAAATACACTGTAAACAAGCATGACATTCAGAGAGGAAAACAGACGGGATCCAAGCGCATGAATGCTTCATGCTGCTCGGATTTCACAGCTGCTCTGCAGATCCATCGACCACGACGGATAACTGGCTTCCCATCCTACAGCTCACCACACAGCAGCGCTTTGATTTTCACCAATCTGATTCAAAGGGCACGCTGCACATCACTGAGTTTACATTTCTCTATTTGAGATGATCATTTTTCACTAATGAGGTTTTAATTTGGATTTAAAAAAAAACTCTGTACTGTCTCAATACCCAACTATTTGCTCAATGAGTCCTTCCTTAGAAACCCCCCCAAAAAACACTTCCATTTAAAAAAAAGACTTGAAATAAGTCTGACACAAAAGTTTAGTTTGTCACATAACAGACCAACTGCTTTAGCTGTAGATTACATTTTCCAGTAAGAATAAACTTTCTGCTTTATGATTAAAGATATTTTCAACCTTTAAAATAAAAGATTTGCTTTGAAAACATTTCGTCAGGTTATCAGCTTAATGTTTTCACTAACTTACCCGACGACAGCAGTGTGAGCAGGAACAGAGTGGCCAGTGCTGCACGCTGAAGCTCCATGGCTGAGTGGAAGTGAGAGGTCCAGAGCCCTTTCACCCACCGACCTGCTGCCAGAACCCGAGAGGCAGAGTGACAAACAACAGCTGCAGACACACAGAGCAGAAAATAGAAAGCACAGAGCAGGCCTGAGCCGCCAGCTGCTGTCACCTCCACCCCGTACGGGAAACTGATAATAAACATGGAGTTTTAAATTATGAGATCTGAATAAGTTAAAAAAAAAAAAAAACACTCAGTTTGAGACACTTTTTTCACTCTTGGGTCTGTATGATGTCACAGACAGGCGATATTCAAACACCAATAAATATGGAAGCAGGTACAAATAAATCGATCATCCCTCTAATTTATATTTGGGCAGAAAAAAAAATCCTGATTCCTGTTTCTCCCTGCTGACCTGCTGGATTCAAAGCTCATACCATTACATCGTTAGTTACTATTATTCTAATGTTTTCACAGTAAGCTGTGTTTGACTCTCATGGTTCAAGGTAACTTTATTTATACCCACAGGCAAGAAAAATGACAGCATTTGGCATCCCTTCAAAAACACACATACCTAATAAAAATATAAACCTCACTGTAGCACATGTATAGTAATTTAAACATTTCGAATCAAAAACAAAAACTGTCCCTGTTGCTGTCACTGAATTAAATAAGCACTAAGCTGTTTTTATAACGCTTTGTCCTGCATCCCGGAAACAGAAACCTCCGTCCTGAGGAAAGAAGCTGAAATTCAGCCCTTAGAGGATGGGAACCATTTTTAAGGACTGATAAAGCCATCCTCTGTACCTGCTTAGAGTACAGGGAGGCTAAACAAGACCGTTAGGGATACACCGATACTGGTATCGGGGCCGATACTGTAAAATGTGTGCGTACTCATACTCGTAAAAGTTAACCGATACCATGAACCGATACCAACTTATTTCATTAATCAGAGGGTGGCTTGTCATTTCTGTTGTAGTTTTTTAGATTGGCCACTAGGGGGACATCCCGTGCTAAACAGGCACAGGGTCAGGCGAGTGAGACTGGCGACTCCAGATTTAAAAAAAGAGAGAAACTGGAGGCTGCTGTAGCTAGGCTAAACAAAATGTCAGCAGTGTGGACCGGAACAGCCAACTTTAACTCAGGTTTTGGAAAAGCGATGAAAAATGTCAAGAGAAAATCCACGGGCAGTTAAAATAACAGAGGCTCTGACTCATTTTATCGCTCTGGATGACCAGCCAATGCCAGGTCGTGGAAAACATAGGATTGCCTCTCTAGCATACTCGAAGCTGCGATATGAAATTCCCAGCCGCCCACACATCAGGGAGTAATGGTGCCAAAACTTTCTGAAGAGGTAAAGACAAGCAGTGTGTGCGCGATGTCAGTCCTTGGTTTAACGGCACAGTGGACTGATGATCCACGGGCAGATGGGGAGTTCGTTCGTCAATGCCAAATACTTTCGTTATTTTGTTTGTTTGTTTACAATATGGACACTCTGCAACAATTTAAAAGTTTATTTTATTCTCAAACCTAATTTGTATTTATTTTATTCCAAACAGAAGTGTTTATTTATTATTCTGAAAGCTCGAGACAGTGCCAATAGTTCAGTGATATTTTGTAAATTACAATGTGGAGACTCTGCAATAATTTAACAGAAGTGCTTATTTTTCACTTGAAATTTTTTTGTGGTCATTTTTAGATTTAATCTTTTATCGGCAGGGAATATAATAAAACCTGTCTTCCAATTAATTGTATTATAGTATCGGTATCGTATCGGTTTGAAAAAACTGGTATCGTTGCATCCCTAAAGACTGCGGCTCACCTATCAGACGACTGGACCATCTCACTATTTGATCTGTTGGGAAGCCAGATAATATTCTGTTCACAAGAATTATGAAAAAATACTGAACAAATCAGAAACATCTGCCTGAAAACATCCGTCAGCTCTATAAATATGTAAATGATAATTAAAAATTTATTTCAAAAAGCAGGCCGAGGCTACAGTTTATTTTAGTTACGTTTTAAAATATTTTTTAAAAGAGGAATTTACAAAAACGATCTAGGATGTACACACATATCTATCATTTATTTACCAATAAAAACACAGACACAGAAAAACTGACATATTTTAAAATATAAGTTGTGTTTAATACAGTTCATTAAGTGTTTTCTATAAAAAGTTTCCTGAAGGTTTAAAGCTCAAGCTTATAGTCTTGAAAGTTGATGGGGATGTTTTTCAAATCAGATTTTCTCCGGTGCAGCTCGGTCGCTGCTCAGAGCGACAGGTTGACGTCGCTCTTCATCTTGCCGCTGCTGAGGCTGTGGATCATGGCGATCATCGCAGAGTGTTTGTTCAACTCGTCCTCCTTCTGCTTCAGCTTCGTCTCCAGCTGACTCTTCTGCAGCTCCAGAGACGACGCCTGGAAAACAGAAAATGTTCTACATCAAGAAACCAGCCTGGGTTTATCTCCTGTCTGCTGCCTGATCATCGACTTAAACCCTGACAAGCTTGGATTCGTCTGTGGACAGAAGCTTTGGGACAGGCTGCAGGAATCTGTTTTTGACTCCATCTCACGCCTCGATGGTTACAAGCTCTTCAATTTTGGGATTTTTTTTTTAAAGATCTGAATCTAAAAGGCTGTTTTATTTTATTTTATTACGTTTATTAAGTTGTCAAAAAGGCGTCTCACTTTATGTGAATTTGGACATTTTGTTTTCCCTTTTTGGAGGATTTTAGTTTCTTTCTTTGTTCATTTTCCAAGCATCGTTTGTTTCTTATCAGCATCTCTTCACACACGTGAGAACAGAGAACGACTTTTCTGTCAATTGTCCATCAAATCACAGGTGCATGCATGAGCTAAAATTAAGGCATCAAATAAAAGAAAAAGAAGCCCAACAAAATCCTTTACATGTTAAGGAAACAAAGGTATAGAAGCTGCAGGTGTAGCTTGGAGCAAACGTGTCGCGTTTGATCAGCACTCCTGTTGTTACCTTGATGCTGGCGTCCTTCCGGGCCTGCTCTGTTTTGTTGAGTTCTTTCCTTAAAACATCCACCGTCTCCTCCAGGTCTCTCCTCTCCTGCTCCTTTTCCTTCACCTTCTCCTCCTCAGCCCGGAGTTCAGCACGCAGACCTGACAGGAACAAAGCAAAGTGCTCCTGAGGCTCATGGATAGGTTACAAATCCTTTAGGTTGTTTTTAATCTCAGCGCTGATAAAAACATATCGTATAATCTTGACTTTATCAGTCAGAGGTGGTTTTGGACAAACATTTGCAGGCGACAATAAAAACGTTCCTCTAATAAACAAATAAAAGTTACACAGATTTTCTCACATCTCTGATGAATGAAGAGTCTTGGGATCAGATTTCAGGGGGGAAAGGTCCTTTCCCATATTTAGGATACACACATTTGTCTGTTACTGTGAAATTAACTGAAAACCAACCTGAGATTTCACCGTTTTTCTTCTGTAGATCTGAATTAAGCGATCTGATCTCCTCTTCTCTCTCCTGCAACAATGACGCCGTCCTAACAAAGAGCAACGAGCGTCAGAAACCTCGTCTTCAGGTCAAAGGAAACAAGTGTCGCACGTGTGTGTGTGTGTGTGGCACACTTGTTTTGCTGCAGCTGGAGGGCTTCATGGTTCTTCTTCAGGGTGTCCGTCTGTTTGGTGAGAGAAACGTGAGCCGCCTGCACCTCCTTCAGCAGCCGCTCCGTCTCATTGAACCTGCAGAGCAGAACTGTCACACATCTGCACGTCCCAATAAACCAGCCCAAAGTTTCATTTCCACAGCCTGAAATAAAGTCTTGTTATACACGTGTTATAAGATCATTTCTCTCAGGTGGAAACAAAGCAGGACAGTACTGGTTAAATCTGCAGCAGTGATCACAGATCAGGACTGTGGACTTTAAAAGTGAGAACTAAAAAAGGAACAGAAAAAAGAGACTTTGGTGGTTAAGAAGTCAAAACACAAAAAAGTGTTTTTCCTCTTCTTACTGGCGTTAAAAGGAAATAGTGCAGATTGAACTGTGTTGGCTCAGAGAGCGAAGTGTGAGGAAAACCTTCACTGTTTAACTACAGCTGTTATTAAAAATAGAGCCAAAATAAACAAACAAATAAATCAATCCCACCATGGTTTCACCAAAGTGCCTCTGACCTGTTGAGCAGGGCGTTGTAGGCTCCTTTCAGGGCCTGGTGCTCCTCAGAGTCCCGCTGTAGCCTGGAGTTGTGCTGCAGCAGCTCCTCCATGTCAGCTCTGGAGCGCTCCACCTCCAGCACCTGGCCGCTCAGCTCCACCTTCAGCTCCTCGCGCCGCCGCTCGGCGTCCTTCAGCAGACCGCCCAGCTTACGAGCCTGCGGGCAGAACACGGGGCAAAATTAACATACAGGAAAAGTGGATTTTACTAAAAACAGCGAGGATCAGTGATTGAACTTCTAAGCAAAGATGAACTTTCCCATGGCTTGATTTAATTTAATGATTTTAGGAGGTGCTCACACTGACACTGCTTCACATTTAACATCAGAAAAGCATTTGGCACGGACAGCGTGACGCAGTGCATCTGCAAACTACAACCTGGGACTGAATTAAACATCGTAATTACACGTATTTATTCACTATTAATCTTCTAGTACAAAATGTGAGAAAAAACAGGAAAAACAAAGTTTAAATAGGTCGTTATGATGGGTTTTTTTTTTTAATGTTTTAACATCACAAAAAAGATAAAGCACATGATCCTCACATTTAAGAAGCTGGCACTGCAAACAGTGTATTATCAAAATCTAAAGGAAAGAATAAAAACAATAACAACATGTTACCTCAGCCTCAGCCTGAGCTCTCTGAAAGCGATACTGAGCGAGGAGACGGTCGGCCTGAGAAAGGGCCAGAGCCTTCGCCTCCAACAAGTCCTGCAGACGGCTCTCTTTAGACTGAGGAGACACACAGAAACCTTCATCAGATACAGAAATGCTAAAATCCAGATAAAGTCTGAATGCTCCTGCAGAGGCTTCAGTGTTACATCAACAAATAACTCTCAAGAAGTAAAAATCAGACTGTTAAAAACAAACTGCAAACATATGACAGATTTTTAAACTGCGTGGTTACTCGT